AATTTCATGATGTATTTGATGATTTAGGTATACAGCAGTGTTAATTCTCAGAGCTGACTACAAATAGTGATTTTAATTTATTCCTGCTGCCTACAATTACGGACAACCATGTATTTTTAAATATTTCCAGCCTATAAAAATTACTAATTTTTGCCACTTGTGTTTATCTGCATTTAGACTTTGATTTGGATAAATTAAGCTCTCAAGTGTTCCTTGCTTTATGAAACTCTGCATGTTGTACACTTCAACACAAATAAATGACTTCTACCATTAGAGGTTTAAATAATGTAATGTATTTCATGCTCAGCCTGAAGCTGGATTCCAATGAAGTTGCTAATGCACGTAATGATTAAGTGTAACTCAAATACTAACTGTGTTGTTGAAAACATGACAGGCAATAATTTGGTCTATTATATTCTGCCATTTAATTGCCTAGTACAGACATTCTCTGACACGTTATGAAGCAATGATTTACAATTATTCAAGCTGCAAAGGTCAGAAAGTGACATTATAATCATCTACACAGAGATCCCTTCTAATGCACAAAAACTAGGTAATACCACACAAAAATAGTTTTACTAGAGTAGCAACTTTCTATTTAAGATTTCCCAAACTGCACAAGTATAAACAATTAATTTATATTATAGTACATTAAGGCATCCTTGAAAATAGAATGTTTTTTTCTGCTCCTACCAATAAATTTATGAATAAGTCTTTTTTGCTTGCTAAAAGAAATCTTAAGAGCAGGCTTTCATTAAAAGTAGCCTAACAGTAACAATAATCATTTAAAAAAAAATCTGAAAATCTAAAAGATTTTTTTAGAATACAACACAGAGGAGTAGAGCCAGTTTTTTAGATGCAGCTGGTCAAAGCACATTTGTATCTATAAAGTAGGAAGATCTATTAGCCACTATACTCAGTATAGGCAAGTATTTTTCTTTAGACATTCTCTAAGCAACTAGTGTCATTAAAATACTGAACTTTATACAGATTAAGATCTCTGAACTATTCTTAGCATTAACAACAGCAGCAAAAGTGAAGATATTTCCATGCTTGGGACACTCTAACTCTCCTCAAAGCTTGTTTATATGAGGCTTTAAAAAAATAACTGAATTTGGCAAAACAGACCATCTTGTACCATCTCCAGAATTAATTGGAAACAAGGAGTTTCAAAGCAAATGGAGAATTGAGGATCAGAAAGTAAAAAAACAATTAATACCTTGATCCACCAAAAGACCAAAACAAAGCTAAAAAATCTATAACAACAAAAAAACCCTACGAGAAAGAACTACTTCAGCAAAATACAGAAAAAGCTCAACCTTTTCCACTCCCTTCCAAATTCCTCTATGTATACAAATACTTACTTCTGTTCCTTAAAACACTTGACTACTATATATGGAATAAACATAATAGAGACAAGGCTACAAATGTCCTTTCAATTTTTAGGAAGGTAGCAAAAAATGTTTACATGCATGTCGTAAATACTGACAATTTCCCTAAAAATCCAAACCTACCTTATACCCATCTTCCTCAGCAGATTTTTAAGAAGTCATAAAGGAGAGAAAAAAAAGAAAGAAGCAGCCACTCTTATCTGAAACATGTAACTACATCCTCAAAAATTCTGCTTCTGAAAGCAAAGGCAAGAAAAAGGCAAAGGAACACTAGATGCATTTTTAAATCAAACATTGCCCATAAATTCCATTCAAAATCTCAACTGCAGAACAATGCATTTTTCATGTTCTACCTGAGGCATAAAATTTCAAAAGTGCACTTTCACCAGACAAATGAAACAAAAATTTTAAATGCTGGCCAACTAAGACTTGCTCATCTAACACAGGGTATCAGCCAAGTTCAGAGCCGGACTTTCAAAAATTAAATCCAAATATGCAGCAGTTTGCCACCCGCAGAAAACAGATACTACCTCTGAAATAACGGGATATATTTTACAGCCATGGCTATGGAAAAGAAAACAATTAACACACATCTGCGATAAGGAATTGAGTAGCAGACGGTTTATTTCAAATGTTAAACCATTAGCGATGTCCAATTTCTGTGTCATGTAGTTTCTGCTGTGCAGCTGAAGAAAAACAAACCCTGAACTTCAATTAAAAAAATAAAACAACAAGGCAAAATTACTGTCTTTTTCAACAACTAGGTGAATTATATATTGTGTACTTTGCATCATGTAAATACGAGTATCATTTAGAAAATTGAGACACAGCAAATCCTTCATACAACACCACAGATACAGCTTTTGGGGTTTTTTAAAGACAAAAATTTCCACAGAATTTTTTTCTAACAAAAAAATAAAAGGTATTTTGAGACCACGATGTTGCACTGACATTTCACCTTTAAGAAGTGCCGAAACACATTCAAAAGCTTTTGAAACACAATTTATCCTCGCAGCTAGCAGAGGGCTTATTACTATGAATCTAAAAGTCAGAGGATAGAATATTAACTACTGTAGAAAAGAAAACATAGTGCAGGACCTTCTGTTTGTGACAAAATTACAGAGTTAATGTTCCTGAAAGATCACTTCACCTTTTAAAGCATGATTTTTAAAAAGGTAAAATTTATAGCAATTAAAGCTAATGAAGAAATGCAGCATGAGCTGCTTATGTTCAGGAACTAATAGGTCCACTGAGCATTTCTAAGATTATTTAGCCATCAATGATAATGAATTGACATTGTCAGTGGTGTTAATGTACCAATGCTCTATAGTGCCACTAATCAGATAGCCAATCCTAGCGATTTTTATTTTTTTTATGTTGCTACTTTATTTTTTTCACCTACACACTACCCAATCCTTTCAACTAAAATACCAGAAATATAGCACGAGCTATTACACTTTTTTCTCTTCTTCCACATATAAGGATGGCATATTTGGAATATGGTTCAAACCAATCTGGTCATTATTCCTTCTTCAAATTGTGCTCAGTTCTTCAGGATTGTTAGCTATGGTAACAAAATTGTCTTTTCCAATTGAGTCAGTGCTAATATATAATTCTTAAAATACATTTTTGGTGCACATTAAGTGAAATCTGATGATTATTTAAACAGGTATATAAATCAGATTTTTGTGAGCATAGGGTATTGTGGTATATGTCTCTTCAGACGATTGATTTACCATATCTAAATTGCACAGCTTCATGTTGTTGATGAAAATTAGCAATACAATACTACACAAAAATGGAAAATGAGTACCTGCTTGACAACTAGGTATGACATGTCAGCAACATACAGTAAGCAGTCAGCTTAGCAAAGTGACTAACATTCAAGTCTGCAGTTTAAAACATTCATATATGTTTTGCTCTCTCTCTTGCATAACCATCGTGAACTGCAGCTGAGAGTAGTTTCTCAGGCAAACTCTAAGAATATGTCAAACCTGAAGCAAACAATTTTTGAAAAAACGAGGTACTGTGCCAAATCCTAAACATTTTAATTCTCTTTTCATGAATGATATGGTATTAGCTATTCTGAGATTTTTTTACTTTTCCTCTCACGATACCATAGTTAAATAATATGATGATTTTTCAGTTTAAGTTAAAAGGGAATGGAATAAAGAACCATTGTCAAGTTTGCTGACAACTTCTAAAGAACAGAGCTTAGCCTTAACTAAACAGTTCTGTGGATCTGTAGTTGTTAACTATCTTCTGTGCCAAATTCTTGGCAATTCGTATAGCAGAGAGAGTAAATAAGATTTCTCAAACAATATAAAATAGTCCGCCACGCCTAATGTTCATTTTAAATATGCTGCAAAATAAGAAGTAGCACAAGTTATTCCACTACTGATATTCAGTGGACTTAAGAATTAGGCTCATACATTTTTATATCTTGTTTCAAGACGTCGGCAATTAATTTTCGTAAGTGAGTAAAAACATCCAAAGTATCTCATAATGCTGCATGCAAAATTATTTGAAAAACGGAGAGATGAATCAGTGAAAATCACTCAGCTGCATCTTCAGCTGAAGATTCACTTGTCCTTTAGAATGCGTAACTCACTTTGTCCTGCAGCAGACCAGTGTACGACGGCTGGAAAAAAACCCTCCGGCTGAATATTATCCCCAGCATCCCACCACACCATTCATGTGTGCACTGCATCATTTAATTGAACCTGTGCTCTTCTACACATTAGCCGTAAGACTGCTATAGCAGGTTACATAGGTTTGAGTAAAATGTTTTTATATGATGCATATATTAGTTAATTTCTGCAGCATAATAACATTAAAATATATTTTTAATCAGAACTAGGGTATTAAAATCCAACTTTGAATGTCCTATGATGTACCATATATGCCATGGCATTTTAAAACCTTTTAAACATTTCTGCTAAATTAATTAGTTTTGCATTAAGGAGTCTCAATGCCTCCTATTAAATGCAACACTTTTGAAGGACAATTAAACATTACGAACAATCCTTGTGAGAAAATAACGATTAAGTAAAAAAGAAAAACAAGATTTTGGGGGTACCAACAAGAGCACAAGCATACATAAAAGACTTCAATTTATTTTTAAAGTCTTATGCCTGCAATATTTTAGATCCGTTTGTTTGAAAAATCGGTCTTCTGTTTTGTTTTCGTAAAGAATGAAAACCCTAATGGAGTCCAGAAATCTGTTAATGGTACTAAAATTATAACAGTATAGCAAAAGAAAAAACCCCACACAGTAAAGTCTATATTATATATTTTTTATGTCTTTAAATGGAATTTACAGTTCTCCCTGGCAATGTGAATGAACATCCTATAATTTAGTCAATTTACAGATTACAGGTTCAAATTGACCTTGTAGCCCATAAAATTGCTCATCTTCAGTGCAGGATTAGAAGTGGGAAAAGAATGTCATAACTGTATTTAAGGAATTTACCATAACAATGGAAAGGAGGATATGCATGCATAATTTTAGCCATTCTTGCTCACATCACAGTTTTCAATTCTGAAACAATGCATATCCTGCACTCTTCTCCTGGTTAACCATGGTGGAGACTGTTTCAATTTACTCACCCACAGACATGACACTTGTATTCCCTCATCCCAAGGTGCCTCTTGACATGGTTTCTGGCATCTCCAAGCTGAGCTGTTGCAAAGTGGCATATCTTGCACTTGAATGGCTTTGATCCTAAGTAAAATTTAGCATAGGATATGAGTTGAATTAGAATAATATATCACCCACAGTTAAAGAAATAAAAAAGCCGGGGAAAAAATAACCATTAAAAAAGTCTATCTCACATTTAACCTGTTGTAGATTTTTTTCCTTACCAAAAAAAAAGTGTCTTGGAAATAAATTTTTAACTCCCAGGACACAGCCAGTATATACCATACATTACTCACTGAAGTAATGATCCCATAAATGAAGTTCAAGATCCCATAAACTATCCACTTCTAATAACAATTTTGTCAGTTTTTTTTTTTTAATTACTATTAAAAAACAAGCCCAAAATACAAAAAGGAGAAGACAGTACAGTAGGTAGATAACCTTTCAACAAGAGAGCAAAAGTTGTTCCACTTTCCCCACTTTCAAATGCTGAAACTCAGGTAATGGACTTAAAGTGGCTTGATATTGGTCTAAACTGCAAAATGTACTTGTTTTTTAAGTAAAAACATTTAAAGTAATGTTACAAGTCTTCTGACTTTGAATAGATTTCATATTAGCATTGGTATTTCAGATTTGTTCTGTCACACACAGAAAATGATTCATCACCTAGCTATTGTAATGACATGCAATGTATGAACATACAGTGGATAAAATATTATGCCTTTATGACTGTTTTATGGTCAAGAATTTATGATTATTCTGCAAACTAGAAGTATTGACATTTTGGCTATTATTTATTTCAAGAACAAACTTTAATATTAAATGTCTACTGCAGACCAAGGAACTCTGAAATTATTTCTGCAAGAGAGAAGTATCAGGGTGTTCTCTGTATCACATCAGTTCAGCAAAAAGTCAAATTATTTGTCTATCTTAATTAACAGCAATCCTCTCTGAAGGATGGAGATTTTTTTTAATGAAATAGTTAAATTTGGAACATATCAGTCCCCATGTTATTATGCAGCAACACCACTCTAAAGCATGCTGTAGCACTTTCCAACTTTCTGACCACTAAATCCTTAAAACAATAAATCAAAATCATAGAATTGCAGTTAAACCCTAGCACAATATGGTCACAGGTCTCCATATTATGTTTAGTATATGTTTTCTGAAGCAATTCTTCCAATATAGTTAAGCATAATATGAAATATGTGATCTTTAATAAATATACATAAAGAGCTCTGATAAGAAAAATGTTGTACTATATCATACTTGATCAATGAACCTTTATGCTTTGCCCTTGAAAACAGAATATCCTCCAAGAATCCGCTGGTGAAATTGAGGATCTTAGTAAAAATTTTTAGAGCCTTAAATTTCAATTTAATTCCCAAAAGCTGACGAAAAATGAAGCATTTAATTTTAATCTTCTAACTGAAATAAAAAAGTCAACAGTACTAAGCACGGGCAGACAAGGTTGAATATTTCACAGTTCAATGACAATGAAGCCAGATCTCTTAATAATTCCATTTCTAATGTTGGAAGTAGATGTAAAATATATTTAGCACCTGAATGGTTATATCTAGTCAGCTTTATATGTTTAAATATCAAAAGCAGGTTGAGACTGCAGCTAACAGCAATCACATTCTATCAATTACACTGAAAAAGCTCAGTTTATTTAAATGATCCTGATAAAACTAAATTAATCATTAATTTGGTGACATTTCAGATCAACACTGCATTCTATAAAGAGAACCATGGAAATAAAACCCCCTATCTTTGCATTAAAGAATATTAAAAGTTGATGTTTTAACTTACTATCTTAAAGACCAACTGCACAATTAATAACATCAAGGCTACCGTTGGAAAAGGGTTTTTTTAAATCTACTGGTGTTTATATTGCTTTTTTTTGTCACAGAATTCAAATACCATGTGGATTCAATCCTGTGTTCCCTTAGTTTCTCTCCTACTGATTAAATTGTAAATTCGTTCCTCATTCTGTTACTGCAGGTGTCCCACAGGGCTTCCATACAAGACCTTTGCTGTTTTCCATTTACATGATTCCTTTGTGAAGAACTCGAGTTCAGACCAATCGTAGCTACAGTGTGCTGACAATACAGAAATGTATTATTCTGTTGACTGCCCTCATCCAAAAATCACTGAGGCCTTGAGGGTTTTTTATTTATTTCTCAGATCCAGAGCTGAATATCTGTTAACATCTCCATTTAAACTCCAAGAAAATTCAAGTGCTGGCAGGCTCTGGTCAGTACTTAGCACCTGAAACAAAAGCAGCTCATCCCCCTTTTAGGCTGCTAGTGCCAAATTTGTTCCACTATGTTCTTAGCTGGAACAAACCAAAAAACATTAAACTAAGAAAACATTAAACTAATAATTAAACTAATGGGGGAAAAAAAAATCTGTATGTGCCATAAGGCTATCTGAAACAATGCTGAAGCAATTAACCATTTCTTGCCATAGTTACCAAAACTTTAATAGTTCTCATATGCTGTGTTAAATGGATTCACATATGGCTTTTAGTTCACAGAAAAGCAAGAAAAATATTTTCAATATAGCATCCTTCAAACCAGATGATTTAAAAAATATATATCAAAAAACCCACAAACAAACGGTACATTTTCTAATGGTAGCAGTAAACAGTAAGGCTCTTATCAAGAGAACTGGGGATACGAACCAGCAGAAAAACACCAAATGGAAAATAGACTACATTTAAAAGTTCAGGTCAGACAGAAACAAACCTTGCTACTGTTTTATAATAGAGACTGGAGTTCATAGTCCTTATTTTACATTAAGCCAACAGAGACCCAAAACTAAAAAATTCACTGCCTCAGCTTTACACCAGCTAAAGGCAACATCGCTTGCACCTCCAGGTCTCACTGGGTCCCTGGCTCAGGCCCAATGCAAAGTGTGTAGAATTACTTGAAATATCATTGTACTGTTTCCTCCTACATTTAGGATGTGGGGAGTAAGATACCACACTTACGCTGAGCAAACCTTTCCATTAACTGAGAAATCTGATGAGAAATGAAACAAAGATGATGTGGTTGCAGGTGATTTTTCCTCAGATGTTGATTGTTAATTAAGTTTATGGGACCTCCATCAACTGCGAACTAAAAAGTCTTCCACCTCTACTACTCCTTTTATTTTTCTTTACAATTCCTCATTTTCACTTGTCAACATGTGATGGACTTACTTGTTATCTCCTCTCTAGCAAAGCTTCCCCTTCATTTGCAATGTGAAAATCTCCTACATTACTTAACAGTATTTTGAAACATTATTTTTCTATTAATGGAAATTATTATTTGTATCCTTCTACAACTTCCCCTTCCTCCTCCTGCCCCAAACCATCACCAATTACTCCGTAAAAAAAGGCAAGGAGTTGGATATGATTATGTATGGATACATGAACATATATCTATGCATTTGGATGCTGAAGAAAGATTTTTTTAAAAATCACATAATAAGAACAATAAATTGGGAAAATGTTCATCTCTTCTGCTATTATGTAGCTGTTGTTACCCTGGAACAGACGGCAAGCTAGAAAATCTGTACTTTGCCTCACCAATGTTATAAGCCAGTGTATATACAGTTGGTGGAGTAGGTGAGTTCCCTCTTCCACCACTCCCAATAACCCCAAAATATTTGTTTCTTATTCATCTGCATCCATTGCAATACGGATGGGAAGAAAAAGTTCTATAAGACACAAAGGAAATCACAAATATGAAAATACGGATTGGAAGAGAAAGCCTTCTTCTGTTAACTATTAATAAATGACTCCGCATTACTATTTATGTGAGTAAGCAAAGCATAAGAAAACCATTTCATTTAAAGGTGCCATGAGGGGAGATAAAACTCTATTCTGTAACCCTTCTCTACCCCTTCCACGCACACCACCAAAAAATGACTTGTAAAATGAAATGTATTCTTCTACTGCTTTGCATATTTAGGGCCATCTGAAAGCACAATAAAAATATACTTCATGATAAGACCTACACACAAGATGTTAAAAAGTACACTAACTTTTACTAAATGTTACAATCAATGATGTAACTTATGTAAGTAGGGTTGCTTTGTCATATATTGATAGTTACCTCACTTTCACATCCACATTAACTTGATTTTAAATGCAATTAATACATATAGTCAAGGAAGACTAATGGACTACATTCTGCACTTAACCTGGTGGACATTTTCAAATGGCACAAGTGACCAGTGCAAACCTATTTTGCATTGTAAACGACTAAATAAATCTTAATGGATTAAGAATGATCAGCTATCAACACACAAGGGAAATTAAGTGCTGAAATGCCTACATTGATTATTTTAAATTATTAGCCTTACTCTGTTCTTGAATTTGTATGCTTTTAGTGAGCTTTAACACATTTACAAGACTTATTGACTATAATTACAAGAGAATTCAAGTAATGGACACATCAATTATAAGCAACATGTCTTGACCAGACAGTTGCATAAAGAATTCTAAAGAGAGCTCCATTAGCATCCTCCCCCTTAGTTTTATTCAGTTTTATCTGCCGTAAGAGGGCATATTAAGGGCTTATACAGCTGTTCTGACCATGTGAACATGAGCGTCCCTCTAAAGACTTAACACTGCATTCAAAGTTGGATATTAGCTGAAGCAATACAGATAACTACGTTATTGACAGGATAGAAGTAATGCTGAAAGTATTAAGCGTGTGAATTACTGGTATACGCGAATACTGCCGTTATAGTAAAATACTTTGAAAGGTTTGAAATACAATGTCTGTGCTCCCCAAGATTAATTTGAAACTCTGCTGTCCAGTCACGCCCTTGCCTTTTCATAAAAAACCTTGCAAAACTATTTTAGGATTATGCCAGGAATTACCATTCTTTTATGTTTCTTTTTTCTTACCTTTTTGTTCTCTTCCTTGTAACCATGCACTAAGTTTCAAATACTGCATGAATTTAAACTATAGCTTCCATAATAAGCCATTATTTAAAAGTACAGTAAAATAAACCTTACAGTTTTAATGAAAATATGTTCATTGAAATGTGAATTTATTATTCAAATCCACTCATAAATTCAACCATGGAGACACCACTTGTCTAAGCAGAGCTCAGTGATTTAGAAAAGCTGTCTATTTAAAATAAAGAATGTATGGCAGGTTTATAGAAACATCGCAGTGAATTTTTACATAAATTTAGAACTGCGGCTTATGCATTTTTCTACAAAAATGTTTTTAAATTTTCCACTTAAAATTAAACATAAAAATGAATTGAAAGTGTGATCAGCAGAGAAACTAAATCAGATGCTACATCCCTGTGCATCACATCAGCATTACACACTGCCTTCCAAAAAGGCTGACCAATTCCAATCCCCATAGCTTATTCTACAAAAACCTCTTCTTACTGGTTTTTATTTAGGAATGATGCAATGTCATATGTCTATCCTCAAGCATTATGTCATGCTGAAAACATACCTGAACTGAAATGAAATAAACAATTCAGATGTTAAACAACTGCAAGGAAGAGGAAGTTAGAAAGAACAGCTAATTGTTCTCTCAAACCACCACTGCTTCATTATATAAATTTAAGAGCCAATTAATAGTTACAATTTAGATTAAAGGGAAGGAAATCTCTCTGTATGAAACAAAAAGCAGAAGAGTGACTGCGCTTACATCTTCTACCCTTTGATCACTGCATTTTCATGCTCCATTTTGAATTTCATTGGGGGCATACCAAGGGATATGAATGCCAGTTCATAAGAAACGTTAAGGAGTTTAACAAGCAGAAAAAGACCCACGGTATAATTCACTCTGAAAGAGAATACTTGCAAAGAGAGTGTTTCCATACCTGTATGGGTACGGATGTGAGCTAGGAAGGCCATAGAATTGCTACTTCTACACATCTTCCCGCAATACTTGCAGACATTGCCTTGGTTCTCTTCCCTCTCTCTGTTTATTTGCTCAGTGTCTTCCACAATGTACTTATTCACTTCCCGCAACAGCTCTTCATGTTGCTCTTTGATGTGGAGAAACAAGCTCTGCTCTGAATCGAAGGGCTCCGTGCACTTCACGCACTTAAAGGTAGCACCTCCTTCGGGCAGCTCCTCCACGCTTGCCTGCTCGTTTCGCATGTGCCCAGCACTGGCCAAGTGCTGGTGAAGGTTGCTCTCTGTGTAAAATGATTTTCCACAGAGCAAACAATGAAAATGTTTTTCTTTTGAAGGATGTTTCATGGCTATGTGAACATTTAGTCCGCTCAAACCATCTGCTAGAAAACCGCAGTCATCGCAGCGAATGCGCGTCGATTCCCCAAGGGAAATTCCTTCTGACTTCCTCTTTTTCCCGCCACCGGGTGACGGGTCTGCTTTCACCGAGAGCTCGCTAGCTTTCACTCCACCTGCCGTCTGTCCTTCAGCAGAATGGGCAGTGGCTTCCCCGTCTTGATGGCTTTTTAACCTCACTATAGAGGAATCGAACTTGCCAAAATTTTGCGTCGCCTTTCCTTTATCATCAGCACTGTTAACTGTTCCTAAAGCCTCATTACTACTTTCTTGCATGCCCTCAGCTGTTGAGCCATCTGCCTCCCAAACATTGTTATTTATAGTTACTTCTGCTTCACGTTGCGCTTCCATAAGGGCTTCTTCCTCCTCCCCAGTAGGATGCTCTTTGAAACTTCTGTCACCCTCTAAACTATGTATGTTTTGTATCGTTTCTCCAATGTTTCCAGCAAAATTTGATTGCTCTACTGCACTACTTGTTTCTGGAAGAGTTAGCGTAAGTGGGTTATTTTTTTCCAGTGATGTATTTTCTGGAATTTCTTCATTTATACACCCAGCTTCAGGGTTTTCTCTATTTACTTCCAAGCTTTCTTCACTGTTTCCTGAATTCAAGTTTGTGCTGCTTGATCTGTTTTGATTTTCTGCAGTGCAGTCATCGTACGAGCTGAGCAGCTCCTGATCACACTTAGTTTTCTGCAACTCACAAGGACCTGTTTCTTGAACTGATATTTCCTTGTCAACTTCAACAACTTCATCTTTCGGAGGAGTTTGCTGGAATCCTTCACAACAAAGGTTTTCTCCTCCATTTTTAGAGTCTTCTTCAAGTTCAGCTTCTGGTGTGTGTTGGGAACCACTACCTCTAAGCATTGCTGGAGAAACATTTTCATCTAAGACAGCAGACTCAGTTAAGCTTTTATTCGTATGATCAGCTTCTGCTGCATCATTGGCACATGTTGTTACATCTAAACCACTTTTCAATTCTGCACTGTAATGATGCTCCTCTGGAGACAAAGCACTGCCTTCTTTAGTGACATTTGCTTCCTCCCCAGAAGAATGAACATGAGATTCTCTTCTAATTTTATGTTTCTCTGTTGCTGCATGCCTAATCATCTCTCTGTGAGTAACAGCATAGTAGTCACAAGCCATGCAGTAGTACTCAAATTGCTTGGTATGTTTTCGCTTCACGTGCAGCTCTAAAGAAGAAGAAGAATGAGCCACGAAGCAGCAGTGAACGCACTTGTTGTCGTTTGCACCCCCTGCTCTTCTCTGAAAGCACGCGTCACCATCTTGAGGATCCCTTGCTGGTTCCAGAAATATACGGTGGTTTATATTTAATGGATTGCTAGCATGCTCCACATCTGGCGGCCTGCTGGCACTTACAACTTTTAGCTCAGCCTCTCCTTGCTCAACTTCCTGATTCTCTAAGACAGAATTTTCCAGATCTGATGACTGGCTACCATCCTCAGCATGTTCATACAAGGCAGGCATGGGGCTGTTAACCTTCTTGCTCATCCGTTCACAATTACCTCCTTCAGGGCTAACGATGATATCTGAGTTCTGTTTTCCATGTCCTTCTATTTCAACACGACTTTTGTGCTTTTTGGTTGCACAATGACGTTCCATATCCCCTTTGGTTACAGTGTAATAATTGCAAACCACACACAAATAGCTGTATTGATGACTGTGCTTTCGTCTGATATGAACAGTCAAATTCGTAACACTGGAGGCCAAAAGACCACAATGGGTACATGTCCTAGAAACAGTACCTTTGGTTTTCCCTCTTTTGGGTGCATTAGCTAAAGCCAATTCAGTTTCACCAATCCTTCGGTCAAGTGGAACAAATTCCTCATTTCTTGACATGTTTTCCACAGAAGAGGATGAAACATGAATGATTTCTTTATCTAACTCTGCATTCCCACTCCCAGAAACAGAAGGATCCACCACTGTTTTAATACCACCAACACAAACCTTTTCAATACATTCTTCAAAACGTAGTCCAATGTTGTTTTTCCTGGCATTTTCAAGGTGCTTGCTTCTTTTGATATGCTTCTCCATTCCTTCCTTACTCAGTGAGTAGAGATTACATGCTTTACAAAGGAAGTGATACTCCTGTGCATGTCGGAGTTTTATGTGCCTTGTAAGAACTGTGGAAGACCTTGTCTTATAAAAACACTTTTTACATTGAAATTGGGTTTTATTCAGAACAGAATGCTTTAGATCATTTCTGTGATTCATGAAGGAGGAGTCTGAAGACTTTGCTTTCACTGATACTTCCTCTTCCTTTGCAAGATTTTGGCTATTGTTTGATACTGAGTCAGCATGAGTTACCACTTGCAAGGTCCAATCACTGTTATTCAATGAAGTAGCTTCCTGAAATAAGGAACCATCATGTTTCTCATTTTTTTGATGATTTATCAGCTCTTCTTCCATTTGAAAAAAAAGAATGCAAGTTGGACAACTATAGGACATATTATGCGCTTCACTCATATGGTTTCCAAGGCTGCTCACGTTTAAGCTGGTAAACAAACAGAGGTGACAGTTAAAGCTGCAATCACCCATTTGGTGTTTACTGTCCTGACAGTGTTGCTTCATGTCTTCCCTGACTCCGGAGGAATAACTACACATCTGACAATGAAACTGGATCCTTTTTGTATGAAGCTTCGCAACATGAATTTCCAAGTTTTTTCTGTTCTCAAATACATGACCACAGTCAGTGCACGTGTGAAGAACACCATGATTAGCAATAACTTGAACATCAGAATCTTTAGTTTCTGTGGTACTGGAAGAAAGGGTATTTGGCTTATCTTCAGTAAGATCTTCAATTTTTGAAGTAGTATTACAACTACTTTCAGCATCTGTTTCTAATTCTGTATGTAGTATAGAGCTTGAATCATCAGGTTTAAGTTGTGTTCTGGAGACACACTTCATGTTTATTCTCTGAGTTTCAGACCTGCCTCTCTTGCTACTACCCAACAAATTGTACCTTCTTTTAACCTGCCTTTTTAATCTCAAAGACCTACTCTGTCCAAATGAAGACCTTAACAAGACATTTCTTTTATGTTCCAGTCTATTGAACCTCCGTGTCGTGTTTAAACTGCTAACTAGCTTCTTGATAATTGGAGGGAGTTCTGTTCTCTGCAAGGTATTTTCTGAGGGTCCTGGTATTTCTAGTCTTTCAGTACAGACCTCGTACTTTCTTTCTACACTGGTAGAAAATGAAGTTTCTTTTGCCACAGTATCTTTTTTTTCAGTGGGAACATTTGAAGATGCTATCACTTCAGCATGTTCAGTGCTATCATTTTGTTTAGACAAGCTTACTTTTGAGCCTTCCAATGTACTGCAAGCACTTAATTTTTCTGCAGCAGCAGTTTTTGCCCTTAATTTACTGGTCCCAGGTTTTGCTTTGACATTCCTCGCTTTGGTTGCAGTAGATTGTTGTTTTTTAAAGGATTTTTTTGTCAATATCTGTACAAATCCTCCCCGTGCAGCAAGATTTTGGCGTCGAAGGTGTGTCTTGCCAAGAAAATGAGAATTCAAGAGATTTTCCTCAGCACTCTGAAAACCACAAAGATCACAGCAAAATATTTTGGATTTCTCATGATCTTGCATAATACGTGTATGCAATGTTGAATTACATTCAGCTGTACAACTACAGTGAGGGCATGTCTGCTCTTTGGATTGTTTAGAGGGGCCTTCTTGTTTATGTTTTCCCATATTAGAGCAGGAAGGTAAACACTGATCACTCATTTTGCCTTTATGGTCTTTGTCTATGTTTCCAGCTGTATAGCCGACACCGATTTCTTCTGAAGAAGACAATTTATCAGGAACAGCAGCTGGCATCTCTTGTGAATGTTTATTTTCCTTGTGAATTTTCAGTATGGCACCATCAGCACATTTGAAATCACAGTGTAGGCACAGTAAATTTGAATTAAACATGTCATCAGGAGAACAAACAGTGACACTTCCCTTCTTTACAGCTCCAGCTACCATACTACCTGCTTCTCCAGCTACAACTTTGTGTAATTTCCTTTTGCTATCTTTCACATCTTCTGAAGAACTCCTCTTTCTTTTTCTGGAGACATTTTCAGGTTTGTCTGCTTCAACAACATCCAGGTTTGGTGATCCTGACAGCGCCCTTTCGTTTATGCCATTCTCATTTCTTTTCTTTTCAAGGTCCTTGAACACTTCATCTGATATAAGCCTTGTTTTCTGCTGAGATAAAGAGTCACATCCAGCATTTTCTCCTGATATATTTCTCTGGGATTCTTCTGTCAACTCAGTTTGTAAACTCTCATCCACATCATCGCTCTTCTTATTTTCCTCTCCATCCATTCTTAACATTGATATTATCAATTGTAGATCATTTGGTTTAGTACCTATAAAACAAAAGAGTTATTAGTCTTTTATGCACGACCAAAAGTTAAAATACTCAAGTCAAAAAAAAAGCAATACAGCCAATTAAAATCATGGCAGAAAGACAGACACAATGAAAGATAGGAGACTACGTTTTCAGCACGGTGTCTAAACCTATGACATCTAAAAATCAAACTAACTTCTAGGCTGTTGGTTACAGAGCTCTCACTGCAATGAGCACTGTATGAGTGAGCATTAGCTTCAGTAGTTTTTATGCAATCAGGTAATTTACTATATGCTTAAACCCAGGAGACAAGACTAATCCTTGATTCTGGAAGCGTATTTAGGACATGAAACGCTAACACCTTGCAAGATAACCACCACAGTATGTACAACTTTTCCTGAACTACAAATCCAAGTTCCCAAATGTAAAAGCTCCAAGGACGAAATTACCATGGCTGCTACAAGAAAAACAAAGTCAGAATAAAGTTGGAATATTGTAAGTATGAAGCTTTCTTTCCTTCATCTTCTTAGATTACCAGCTGAATAGGGAAGACATACACAGAGCCACGTTCTAAAAGAATATGCCATGAGTATAGTTCCCCATCGTTCCTAAAATATCCTCTAAAACTTCATCTCCCAACTGAGGGGGACAGAAAGGCAGGGAGGGGGAGAAAAAAATAGTCATGAAATAGCAGTGCAGGCAAGGGCAGCATCTTTGAATCTTAGCACACACTCCAACTATGCAAATCCAATTGCCAAAAGCTTTTGCTCAACTGCCCAGTGTCACTTTCCTGCTCCTCTAAAGATGCCATCACTAGAAAACTGATGCTACCAGCACAGTTTTCAAGAGGGATGGGGGTGGGAAATCAAATCTTGACATTTATTACCTTTTCATTTTGATATGAAGCAATTGTGAATTGAAAATGCATTTCATTTTAACAGATGATTAAATACTAAATGTTTATCTATGTGCTTTATACTGTGATTTAAACATCAGTTTGCTGCAGATCCAAGTATCCAGTCTTTTGTTCAGTTACCCACTGAATGAGGCCATGACCACAACAGTAAGTACTTCCTGACAAGATTAAGTAATTGCAATGTTGATACACACAACGCAGGGAATACAAAACTATTCCAAGTACATGCTATGTTTAAAAAAAAAAAAACCACAATAATTATGGTTATTTTTGAGGACGAAGTAAGAAAGTATTAAACTAGGGAAACATACTCAAATCACTTGGACTTACTGACTATGGAAAAAATGTTGTTCTGCTTAATTCATGGAAGGCCTATAAGGAACTGAGTGCTCAGTAGCTGCATACATTGGACAGTTTTTCATCTGTAGGTCTCTGAGCTAAAGTACTGACCAAGCTCACACTGAGTGAACATCAAGAGAATCTAGATCACAAGAGCCCTTTGGAGGATCCAGATATTGCTTCTCTGTGGTTTTCTGATTCTTACACACTTATTACTTTTCTTTATTCACTACACCATGATAGAAACTATCACAACTAGTCAGAAGTAAAACCATCAGGTCTATATTCTCAGCTGGTGTAAGTCAGCATATTGTTAGTATGTTCAAAAACACTACAGCAATTAATAGCAGAGGAGGATGAAGCCTTTGAAGTGAAGCTTACCCTGAAAATGTTCAGCAGCACTATTTGGGATACAGAAAGAAAGATCAGATGAAAATTATGTTGTTTAACTGCAGTACAGCTTTATTTATATAACTTGGGAAATACCAAGAAATTACTTCAGTGATGGGTGCCACAAGTACATCCTTAACGGTTTGCACACAGCAGCCATGGGTCCTTTGCCTCGCTGCACCTCCACAAGCAGGTGCCCAGCCCACCAGTGAGACCTGACCACTCTTCCCTTGCATGGCCTGGGGAAGAACAGCAGTTTTTCCTTCAATGTACAAGACAATTTGCATCTCAAACCATCTTCTTTATAGGATACTTTCTGCTCAGACCATCTGATTTATCAGAGAACCTGTCCAACAGGGAACTAATACCTCCGCTGGAAATTTCCACTGTCAAAGGTTGTATCAAGATAATACAACCCAATGGAGTTTCTCCATTGACAAAAATTCATACACTCAAGACATATTTAATATAATGTTAACATATTGTTACAATATTGTTAAATGTTATTAAAATATTAATTAAAATATTATCAAA